GCTCAATCCTCTGAGCTGCTGGCTGGCTCTTTCCTGTACCTACCTGTCCATAGATGGCCAACTAGAGCACATGGCCAACCCACCTGCCATCTGCCCCAGGCAAAAGGGCTGGGAAAATCTGTCTGGGTGGCCCCTCATCCACTCAGTATACATGCCCGGAAGAGAAAGGACACTGCCTAATGCTGGCCAGCTCTGTCCTGAGCTCAGCTGCTAAGAATAGCAGGGAATGGGGTGGTGGTAACCAGCAGAACTCAAGCAGAACAGAGGCCATCTGGATCCAGCCCACAGACTTCCAGCACCTGCTCTTCCACTTTTAATCCCAGTTCCTATCCCACTCATCCACCTAGACAGTAAGTTCTGGAAGAGGATATAGACGAGCCAAAGCACCAACTCCCTGACAAGATAGCAATGACCCAGGCTCAGAGACCGCATGTTCCCCTGTTGTAAGCCACTACTGACCCTGAACTGCAAGGAGTTGGAGATCACCTCTGCTGAGCCCCAGGCTAAGGCCAGGCGGCAGCTATGCAGTGGGGTGCCCAGGCAGTAGCATGGAAGGCAAAGCCAACGCCATCTCTGAATACCCCAGTGGGCCCAAGAATACAGGTGGCTTCCTCAAAAGCACTTCTTGCAGGCCCACATTTGGAAGGGTTACTCTTGTGCCTGCCCCCAAGAGCAGACTGCACATAGCTGTGGGCAGCTGGTCTGAGACAGCCTCCACTGAGAGCCTGCAGCATGGCCCATTTGATCAACCCCAGCAGTCGCCTGCCCTTTCTGGATTTCCCAGGTCCCCGTCCAGGGCCCTGCTCCCCCAGAACCACTGACTGATGGCCCTACCACCTGCTCTAATTCCTGGCAGCCACAGCACCAGCAACAGCAGGACCATCTCTGGTATCACATGAGGAAGGGATCAGATGGCCCTGGGAACAGGCCAGGAGTGTTGGGGTAGGGATGGGCTGTAGCCCTCCGCAAGTAGAAACCCTCTGACCACCAAAGCCACTTAAATAGAACAGGCAATGATTTTGGCTTTGGGGCCTGCCCAAAGAGCAGAGATTGTGAAGGACAGAAGAGCTGAGGCTGGTGAGGGGCCAGAGAGATAAGGACACCCAAGCCTCACTGTAGGGAAGGAGAACCTACATGATCCTTTGAAGAAATAATTTGTCAACAGTCTTAAAAGTGATTCAGTTCAAACACTAGCCACATGACCCCAACCCTAGGCATCCTCACAGAATTGTTTACAGGAGCAGAAAGTCCCTCCAAACTAGGGCAATGCTGTGGGCCACGGCAGACTCCAGCCCTAAATGATGCCCACCAAGATCAATTCCTAATGTGAAAAAATATTCATGGGATAACATTTGATGATAAAAATAGGATTCAACTTTCTACAGACTTTTGGAAATGAGGGATATATTCATTACCTTGACGGTAGTGATAGTTTCACAGGTTATCTGTATGCTAAAGCTTACCAAATTGCGCACTTTAAATATGTGCAGTTTATTGTTATGTCAATTACAGCTCAATAAAAAGTTTTTTAAGAAAAGAACTGAAGGTGACAGAAAGTTTTTTTAAAAAATTTGTATACAACATAATCCACACTATATACATTATGAGATAAAGAAAACAGAAAGGAATCACATGCAAATGGCCATTTTAGAATAACGAGATGACAGGTGATTTTCTTCTGTTTCTAAGTTTCCACTAAAGTGTGAAATTATAACTTTTTTATAGACTAAACATAAATATATTAAACTTGCAAGAAAAAGGGCTTGGTGGGGTTTTACTTTACAAAGTCAGGCAGAGGCTACAAGGGGCCGGGAGGGGCAGAGGTGTGGGCAGGTACACGCAGGGCTAGATCATGAGTGTGGAGTAGGTGCCGGGTGCTATGCTTGGCACTGAACACAACCCATCTCCCTGACCTCCATAACACCCTCAGAAGAAAGGAAACAGCACTGCCTGGAGAGAGGAAGCAGCGGAGTCCAGAAGGCAGACTCTCTGGCCAGAGGTCTCACAGCCAGGAACAGACTGAGAACAGAACCCAACCCAGTATGCCTAGAGCCCAGGCTCCCCTTCCCCACAACTGCAGCTTCCGGCCTCTGGTCTGGCCCAGCAGAGTGAGGAGGGGCTACCCACCCAGCCGTACCTGCTGGTGGCTGCAGGGGGTGCATGGCCAGGAGAGGAAAAAATATGGTGCAGGTAGTCATCCAGCAGCTTCTCGTGCACAATGCCTGGGCCACAGGTCAGAAGGGAGAAAAGAATCAAGTGGTCAGCACAGTTCCTGGGCTCTGCTAGCCCCAGAGACTGCTGGTCCTAGGCCAACAACTTGGGTCAGAAGAGCAGCCATGTTGGGAGCAGTGCTCCATGGTGGCTGGTGGAGAAGAACTGACTTCACAGGAACAAGGGATGCAGCAAGGTCTAAGGCTCACTGGACCTGGGACTTTGCTGCCTTTGTCCCTTCCTGTCCTTCCCCCAACAAAAGAAGCCTCCACTCTGCCCTGCCAGCCCTTACCTGTGACCCTGGATTTCTCCACATCTGAAGTCAGCCTATAGCTCTTGCGGGAGAAAGAGATGCCGGTTCCCCTGGACGCCATTCTTCATCTCTCATGGGCAGCCAGTGGTCCTGGAGGCTGAGCCAGATGCAGAGCCTGTCTACTCAAGGCCAGCCAACGGCCCCACACCTGACCTCAATCCTGCGATGGTAGGAAGGCTTGGGAGCAAGGCAGGCCAGACACATGCACACTCACACACATACCAACCCAAGGCGGGGGAAAGCAGGGGCTCCCAGCTTCCTATACAGGGAAGGTACGTGGAGTCCAAACCCATGTGATAGGGACTACGTCTTGTTCCCAGCTGTGTCTCACTGCCCAGCACAGGACCCAGCAGGGAGCAGGTGCTAGATATATGTTTGCTGAACCACAACTAAATGCCTTAGCTTTAGGAAAATCAGACCAAAATGTCCAAAGTGAGGTGGCCTAGGGGCAGAGCTCCTGTATCAATCTCACTTGTAAGCCACACTGGGCCCAGCTCACATCCAGAAGAGAGAACCCTACAGCACATTCCCCAAGTGCAGACCACCACTAGTCTGGCCATCTCCAGCCAAAAATTCCACTTACATCCCTGACGCCAGGACCTCTTTCCTCAGCCCCAGATTCCTCCCTTTGCTTGTTCACGGTCCTGCTAGTTTTCTTGTTCCCACCCACACACACAGCCTCCAGTCTCATCCAAGCATCCACCACCTTTGCCCAGCCCTCATCGCAGACTCCATTGGTCTTTCTACTGCCGTCTGTCCCTCACATATCATGTTGTTGCCACTCCTGCTCCAGAACTTGCTCTAAGTCCCTGGTGCTGTCCAACACAGTAGCAACCAACCACATGGGATTATTTAAATTTAAATTCAAGTTTAAAAAATTAAAAATTCAATTCTCAATTACATCAGCCACATTTCAAGGGTTCAGTGACCACATGTGGCTAATGGTTACAGAATTGGACAGACGTGGAATATTTCCACCGTCACAGAAAGTTCTATTAGCGCGGGTCTAGAGCTTGGGCCTCCAGCACTGCCTTAAGCCAGCACTCCCCTCTCTGTAGCCCAATCTCTTATCTCACCCTAAACAGGTCCTCTGCTCCCACCAAAAACCCTTGCCCGTCTGCACCACGCCCGCCCCTTGGGAAGGTGATTCTTCCTCTCTGTTGCCCACCACGGGCCCTCAGTGGGCGTCCATGATCAGCGGCCCCCTCACACCAGAGCCTTTGCAGGACTGATTAGACATGGTCATTCATTTGATCGGCAAACCTTCCAGACATCCACTCTGGGTGTTAGGTGCTGAAGACTTAGGTGAGAGGAGGAATCTACCCCTGCTCAGAGGCTACCTGCCACGACAATCCTGTCCAGTCCCGCCAAGGGATCCTGGATCGGAACGGAACCGACTCCGTCTCGGAGCCCAAGGACGCCGAGGGCAGCGCATGGCTTCCCCAAGTCGCCCCCGCCTGGCCCCAAGCTCCGGATGACCTGCCAGGCCAGCTCCCGCCTGCAGTCCCGCACCACAGGCCGCAAACCCCACGCAGCGGGCGCCCTCGCACTTGAACGGACGGGGCCACGAGGGGAGCCGCGGGGACCCGCCCCGCTCAGAGCCGGGCCTCCCCTCACTCACCCCAAGCCTCGGCCGCCGCGACCCGGCTCACAACATCCACCCAGCCTCTCGGCTACGGCGCCCGCGCAGGGCCAAACCTCGTGCCCGCTCGCGCGCCTTGCTGCCAGCCGCGCACGCGCACCGGCCCCGGCGGGCTGTCAGGGGATTCCCTCCGCGGCTTCTCGCCGCGTTGTTCCCGGCCTCTCAGCTTCGCGGGAAGGCCCAACTGCCTCCGACCCCCGCCTGCCTTGGGCTAGGGGCGCTCCTAGCCCAGCTGTGGCGGAACGCGATGTCCTAACTCGGATCCCTAAGCCGCTTTTCTCACTCCAAACCATATCTGGAGGCCTGGCTCAGATGTCCCCTAGGACGTCTGAAAGGTAGCTCCTGCCTGGGTACCGCTACCTGTCACCCTCACCCCTATTTAGGTCCAACGGGCAGCCTCGCTCACCTTTCTTTGGATGACTCTTCTGGCGGGCGAGGTGAACCTCCCTGGGCTCTGCTGCCAGGGGTGTGGGCTGACAGCTGGGGCCGATAAGGCAGCAAAAGGGGGAGGAAGCTTTAGGGCTGGAGCAGGTAATGTTTCCCACTTTTTAGGGAAAGATAGAAGTTCATAAAAGTTTATTGTCATCACTCAGGGTCTGGAAACTCTGGCAGCTCCCACGTCCACAATGCCTGTGGGTAGACTAGGCTGCAGCGGGCTTCACTCCCCACCGCAGGGACCTCAAATGTCCACACTGAACCTTCCTAATACCCGCCCACTACACAGGGAAGCCTCTCAAGGATCTAGCTGTACCAGGGTGAGGGCCCTTGCACCTGACCTACCTGCAGGCCTGAGGCTTGACCCCACGGGGTCTCAGGTCAGGTCTCAGTGGCCTGGAGTGGGGGTGTGGAGCCAGAGCCACCCAATCCCGTAGGGACAGGTTTCACAACTTCCCGGATGGGGCCGTGGGGGTCACAGTGCAGCCTAGAGCCAGGAGGATGGGGTGGCTCCCATTCCTACTGCTTCTGATGCAGGGCTCAAGGGCCCCTGGTGAGTGCCCCCCACCCTGATCCCCGTCTGCCTTTAGGAGGGGATTGGCCCTAGGCCCATCCTACTATTCTAGCCAGGAGCTCATTTCCCTACTGGGCATAGAGCAGTGACCTTGGCTCTGGGAATACATATAGGAGGGTACTTTAAAAGGTCATGTAGGCACTGGCCAGTTAGTTCAGTTGGTTAGAGAGCGGAGTTATAACACCAAGGTCATGGGTTCGGATCCCAGTACCAGCCAGCCACAAAAAAGGAAAAAAAAAGTTCATGTAAACATTCTCATTATCTTTCAATTCTATTTTTACAGGAACTTTTTGAAGTACTCTTGTACTTGCCACCCACTCAGGACTCCATTAGCACATCAACTATAGCACTGAAGCAGTGTTGGGACCATGCAGATAAACATACACAAGCAGGCAGCGACCCCTCCTGAGCCTGACCTATCCCTATAACCTAGCATATGCCTTTGTGCTAGTGGGAGCCCATCACTCAGGACTCCATTAGCACATCAACTATAGCACTGAAGCAGTGTTGGGACCATGCAGATATACATACACAAGCAGGCAGCGACCCCTCCTGAGCCTGACCTATCCCTATAACCTAGCATATGCCTTTGTGCTAGTGGGAGCCCAGATTTGGAGTCAGAATGCTTAGGCTGGGTTCCTGCCTGGGTAACACGATGGCTCTATCTTAGCATTCTCATTTGAGAGATGAGATGGGGCAAGCTCCATAGGGCAAGCACCATCACCCACTGCTTTCACGGAGTGTATATGTTTAGACCTGAGCCCAGTTCCTGGTAACAGAAGTACTGGTAATAATGACCAAGTCTGGGCCTGCTTCCCCCACCCTAAGCAGGGGGCCTGGGCTTGTTCTTGAAAGCGCACACAGGGCCCATCCCAGAGGCCTTGTAGATTTGATCCACTGAATGAATAGTGTGGACATGCCAATATACGTGCACTGACATGCATAGCCAACTGTCCTGTGCCAACCCATGCCCATCCTGCAGGGCAGCGCTCGCCACTGAATGACTTCCAGGTGCTCCGGGGCACAGAGCTGCAGCACCTGCTACACACGGTGGTGCCAGGACCTTGGCAGGAGGATGTGGCAGATGCTGAGGAGTGTGCCAGGCGCTGTGGGCCACTACTGGACTGCCGGTGAGTGGCCACGGGGTCTAGATAAGACTAGGAACAAGAGAACTTGGGCCACTGGGTAAAGCTGTGCCTTCTCCTCCCTAGGGCCTTCCACTACAACGTCAGCAGCCACGGTTGCCAATTGCTGCCATGGACCCAGCACTCGCCCCACACACGGCTGCAGCGTTCAGGACGCTGTGACCTCTTCCAGAAAAAAAGCAAGTGGCTGCGGAGACGGGCAGGGCTGGGGATAGGGACCCCAGGGCCCCAGCCTATGTTTACCTTCCTTCTCTTGCTCTCAGACTATGTACGGATCTGCATTATGGATAATGGGGCTGGGTACCGGGGCACCGTGGCCACGACCGCGAGTGGCCTGCCCTGCCAGAGCTGGAGCCATAAGTTCCCCAATGATCACAAGTGAGACAAACACCTTCCCTCTGTCCCTGCCCGAAGTCTTCCCACAGCACGCACTACGGCGTCACTCTCCGCCCCCAGGTACACGCCCACACTCCGCAACGGCCTGGAAGAGAACTTCTGCCGCAACCCGGACGGGGACCCCGGAGGTCCCTGGTGTTACACGACGGACCCTGCCGTGCGCTTCCAGAGCTGCGGCATCAAGTCCTGCCGGGAAGGTAAGTGGCACCGAGTCAAGCTCGGTAAGGGAGGGACAGGCCCACGCCCGTCCACGAACGCACTGGCTCTGTGTGTCTCTAGCCGCTTGTGTTTGGTGCAATGGCGAGAATTACCGCGGCTCGGTGGACCGCACTGAGTCGGGACGGGAGTGCCAGCGCTGGGACCTTCAGCGCCCGCACCAGCACCCCTTCGAGCCTGGCAAGTACGTGTGGGCTGGATCGGCGCCCTGGGGGCGAGACTATGGGAGGGTCCAGGACGCCAGGGGCGGGCCTCTATATAAGGCAATTGGGCGAGGGCAGTCGGGGCCCGAGTCCCGGGGTCTTGTGTCCCAGGGTCTTGTTCGCGCCCTGCTACCGTCCCCAGGTTCCTCGACCAAAGTCTGGACGACAACTATTGCCGGAATCCTGACGGCTCCGAGTGGCCATGGTGCTACACCACCGACCCGCTGCTCGAGCGAGAGTTCTGCGACCTTCCCCGCTGCGGTAGGAGGCGGGGACCCGGCCTGAGAGGGTACCTGGGAAATGTAGGGGGCATGGACTGGCTGGGGAGGGAGGAGGGGCTGGGTATGACCCGACGGTGGGTTGAGAGCAAATCCTGCGGAGTACCATAGACTGGCGAGAGGGGGGCCCATTGCCACCTCCAGCCGAGATCCCAGCACCCGCTCGGGGTCCGACTTGCCTCGATCCATACAAGGGCCCGAGTCACAGCCGCGCCACGAAGCGACAACTCTCAACTGCTTCCGCGGGAAGGGCGAGGGCTACCGCGGCACAGCCAATACCACCGCCGCGGGCGTGCCCTGCCAGCGTTGGGACGCGCAGAGCCCGCATCAGCACCGCTTTTCGCCCGAGAAATACGCGTGCAAGTGAGGCGGCGGGAGGGCACTGGGGGCGTACTCCTACGGGTGGGACCGGAGAAGGGTGGCCCAGGGGCGAGGCTTTAAGGAAGGCGGGGCCTGGGGCGGAGCTGGAGGCCGGGCTCCGGCCGCAGGCTGTCTGGCGGGCGGACTAAGTGGTACTCCGCCGGGGCTGAGGGGAGCGCCTACCCAGGGACCTTCGGGAGAACTTCTGCCGGAATCCCGACGGCTCTGAGGCGCCCTGGTGCTTCACATCGCGGCCCGGCATGCGCGTGGCCTTCTGCTACCAGATCCGGCGCTGCGCCGACGACGTGCGGCCCGAGGGTGAGACCCGAGGAGGGTGATGGAGCCGGGGCTGGAGGCGCGGAGCCGGCGGGCCGGGGCGAAAACGGGGTCTGACGGCCGCCCTCCCGCCTTAGACTGCTACGACGGCGCAGGGGAGCGGTACCGCGGCTCGGTCAGCAAGACCCGCAAGGGCGTCCGGTGCCAGCACTGGTCCGCGGAGACGCCGCACAAGCCGCAGTGAGTCTGTCGGCGCCTTGGAGTCTCAGACGGAGCCTGGAGAGGGTTTGAGACTACCGTGCTATGATTTTGATCCGCCTCCCGCCTAGGTTCACGCCCACCTCGGCCCCGCACGCACAACTGGAGGCGAACTTCTGCCGAAACCCTGACGGAGATAGTCATGGGCCCTGGTGCTACACTATGGATCCAGGGACCCCATTCGACTACTGTGCCCTGCGACGCTGCGGTGAGCACTGGTGACACTCCCCCACGACCCAGCCTCAGAATCGCCCCCCTCCACTAAAGGCAGGCTCCCTTAACCCAGGTGAACTTGATCTTCCAGATGATGACCAGCTGCCGTCCATCCTGGACCCCCCAGGTGCGGACCTGTGCGAGTTGTGGGTCGGGGCCCCTTTACTCCCCACCTCCACCCAGTCTGGGTTTCTCCGGCCTGCCCCATCCTCCAGACCAGGTGCTGTTTGATAAGTGCGGCAAGAGAGTAGATCGGCTGGACCAGTGGAGTGCCAAGCTTCGAGTGGTGGGGGGCCAGCCAGGGAACTCACCCTGGACAGTCAGCTTGCGCAACCGGTGAGGCACAACTGCCTGTCTTTCCAAGAGAGGAATTGAGACTGTGTCCTCAGTGGTTATGCCAGTGGGGCATGGGAACCTGTCTCTTACCCCAAAGGTCCTAGCCAGTAGATGGCAGGTCCAGCATGTGTTCCAGGACTCATTGTTCCCTCTTCCCTCACTGGCAATTGAGACTGTGTCCTCAGTGGTTATGCCAGTGGGGCATGGGAACCTGTCTCTTACCCCAAGGGTCCTAGCCAGTAGATGGCAGGTCCAGCATGTGTTCCAGGACTCATTGTTCCCTCTTCCCTCACTGGGCCTCACTTCTCCAGGCAGGGCCAGCATTTCTGCGGGGGGTCCCTAGTGAAGGAGCAGTGGGTACTGACTGCCCGGCAATGCTTCTCCTCCTGGTGAGCCTCCCTTGGGTTTAGGGACCCAGCCCCATCCCCTTGCCTTCATCCTTCTCCAGCCACCTTCCCCAGGCAAGCCAACAAGTGAGCCTTGGGACAGCAGACTGGGAGTCAGGAATGATCTAACAGAGCTTCTCTACCAGCCATATGCCTCTCATGGGCTATGAGGTGTGGCTGGGCACCATGTTCCAGAACCCACAGCCCGGGGAGCCAGGCCTGCAGCAGGTTGCAGTGGCCAAGATGGTATGTGGGCCCTCAGGTTCCCAGCTTGTCCTGCTTAAGCTGGAGAGGTATATGAGCAAGTTGAGAGGGTGTGAGATGGGGCTGGGCCTGTGGCCTCAGGCCCTGAGTGTCCCCATTCCTGCTAAAGATCTGTGACTCTGAATCAGCGAGTGGCCCTGATCTGCCTGCCCCCTGAGCGGTATGTGGTGCCTCCAGGGACCAAGTGTGAGATCACAGGCTGGGGTGAGACCAAAGGTAAGAGCACAGTGAACGGGTATGGATGCTCCAGGCCCTGGATCCTGCCCAAGGACTCTCCTTCTTCCCATCCCCCCTCACTGTAGGTACAGGTGATGACACGGTCCTAAATGTGGCCTCGCTGAATGTCATTTCCAACCAGGAGTGTAACGTCAAGCACCGAGGACGTGTACGGGAGAGTGAGATGTGCACTGAGGGACTGCTGGCCCCTGTGGGGGCCTGTGAGGTCAGTGGCAGAGCCCCTGGGCCAGCCCAGAGTGGGTTGGTTGTGGGAGCTGGAAATGCATTACTTCATTCCCAAGGGGGCTAGTCATTGCCATGGTGCAGGGTGCTTACCAGTTCTCCCACCTGCCAGGGTGACTACGGGGGCCCACTTGCCTGCTTTACCCATGACTGCTGGGTCCTGGAGGGAATTATAATCCCCAACCGAGTGTGCGCACGGCCCCGCTGGCCAGCCATCTTCATGCGTGTCTCAGTGTTTGTGGACTGGATTCACAAGGTCATACGGCTGAGCTAGGCCCACCTTGACCCCATGTGCCTTGGGGAGGATGAAACTTCCTGTCAGACATAAAGCCATCTTTTCTCTTTATGCCTGTGCAGAGTGCTTCTTAGCCTCTGCTTCTAAGGAACAAGTTGGTGACTCTTTGCTAGGGCTTGGGTGGCTTGAGCCGAGCATACCTGGGCTGGGTGGTCTGACGCTGGAACTACCTTAGCCTGTGGGTGTTCTGTGGAAGAGCAAAGCCTCACTAGTTTCCCAAACACACTCTTGGGAGGGGAAAGGTGGTGCAGAGCGCTTCTAACAGAAGGGGCTGCAGCAGAGAAAACTAGCCTGGTACAGAGTCCCAGTTGGCCAGGACAAGGGCTGAGCCTCTCACTGACCCCTCCCCTCTCACACTGGAGGCAGATGAAGCCCTTGTGGCTACCATACACAGGGCCTAGGATCTCTGAACCCCAAGGTGGGGGCTGTGGTTGCAGATGGCTTGGTACAAAGTACCAGTAAGAACCAGGCTCTGTGTCCTCATTTATTATGACTACATAACCCACATTCCTCTGCCCACTCATCCATGGAATCCAGAGCCCAGGAAGCCTCTCACTGCTCTGCCAGACCTTGGAGCTCCCCAAGAGTGGAGCACGGCATGGGCTGACCAGCTCATGCAGAATGGCGGGGCTTCAGCTGCCCAAGTGTGTGCGCAGCCAGAGCACAGCATTCATGAAGCTGTCTGACTCCACCTCCACCTCTGACAGTGCATGGGTGCTTTTGGGATAGAGCAGGAGCCTGTAGGGGTTGGGCAGCAATGTTTAAGGTTGGGGAGTCCTCCCCTGCTCACCTGCCTACCATCTGCCAAGGGTGTCCTGCTGCACTCACCGAACAGGTACATTCCGGGCCTTAAGGGCACGGTAATACTCCATGCCCTGCTTAAAGGGCACACGCCGGTCCTCCTGGCCCAGCATCAGTAACAGCGGTGTCTTCACCTGAGGGTGGGGAGCAGTGGTGAGCTGGGGCCTGGAATCTGGGCGGCATACAGGACAAGGAGGAGGGCCACATACCTGAGGGATGTATTTGACGGGAGACTTGTCCAGCATCTCGGCCCACACACTGAGGTCTGGCAGGTGGTCACTGCTGTAAGGGAAGCCAGTCTCCACCACACACCTGCAAGGGACAAGCTGATGTGGTCCCAGGAATTCTGGGGCCTGCAAGGGCTCCATGAGAATATGGGGTAGGGTGGAGAAGGGCAGGGACCTGTAGTGCACACCCACCAGTCAGGAATATCAGTGGAGCCTATCATGGAGGCGATGTTGATCACGGGGTTCCGAGCCACGCAGGCGCTGTAGTTCTCTGGGTACTGACCAATCAGGTGGCAGGAGAGGAAGCCACCATGGGAACCACCCATAAGGGCCACTCGGCTTGCATCAAAGTGCTCCTCCTGGAGTACCTGCTCCACTGCAAACTACAGGGTGGGGCACAGCATGCTGCAGCCAGCTGCCTGCCGAGCTGAATGGAGCCACACTCCTGACAGCCCACTCTCCAGCCTGTCCAGAAGCCCAGCCCCCTGCTACCTGGACATCCTTCACATCCTGGTGGCCCACGTTGCCTGGGAGGGAGAGGATGCTGTCCTGGCCAAAGCCCGTGGAGCCACGATAGTTCACTGGAAGCCGAGGAGGGACCAGACAGGGCAGTCAGGCAATATTCCCAGCCCCTAGACATCCTTTCGCACATCGGTGAAGTGGGCCCTAGAACCAGCTATACCCCAGACTCAAAGGGAAGGGGCCAAGAGATTTGAGGCTGCTGCCCAGTGACCACAGCACCCTTTACATGGAAATCCCAAGTTAGTCCATGTAATCACCATGCCGTGGGGCCTGAGGCTGGGCCAGGACAGTTCCTGGTAGTAGTTACTAGGTCCAGGTGAGAGAAATACCTAAAGATTAGGGTGGCACCAATGGTGCATATACAAAGCAGGCCCACCCCGTCACTCCACCATTGCCCTAACAGAGCCACAGGCCCCTGCTCACTCACCTAGTAGCACTGCAAAGCCCATCTTGCAAAGCATGGCTGGGAAAAGCATCCAGGCAGTGACAAAGGATGAATGGGGCCCCCCTGCAGACAGGGATCAGAGGGTGAAAGAACAAGCTAGGAGGCATGGTGTGAGGGCAAAGGCTTAAGGGCCAGATGCCTACCGTGGGGCATGACCACCATGGGCACCTGCGTCTTATCTGGAGGCTTGCTAGGCTGCAGAAGGATAGCTTCAAAGTCAAGGCCAGCTGCAGAGAGAGGGCAGCAGTCAGCAGGGCCAGTGCTACTGCTCAGAGTCTTCCTCAGCCAAGACCCCATCTACAGCTGCTGGTCTGGGGTGGGGCTAACCTTTGGAACAGAGACCTGGCCAAGGTAGCTCACACCATGACATGTGACCTCCAGAAGGTTCATACTCCTTCTGCCCTAGTCAGGGAGCTACATTCTCTTCAGGGACAGTATTCTGGATGAAGTGTGGTCACAGAGGCCTTGTATAAGGCCTATTTTCTTTGGGCCTTTGTTTTCCTACCACATATAACATGGCCTGTTGGTGCCCAGTTCTGATACCCACAGCAGGTGCTCAAAAGCCTCGATATTACTCCTTGTAACCATCCACAAGAAGAACAGAAAACCACTTGGAAGTAATCCTAGGAAACTCCACAATGTGAGATAGGAGGCAAGAAAGGTCTGTGCAGATGCTGTGTGCTGGGGAACCTAGAGAAGGCATCCCTCTTCCCCTGGCTCAGCTCACCATACTGCATGTTCTCTTGATCTGAGGGTGGCTGTAACACCCGGATGCCCCAGTGGATGTCAGGAATGGGCTCAGCCTCCTCCAGGGACACCCACAACACTGACTGCTCCTTCCCTGCAGGAGGCAGGAATCCAACTTTCTGCCAAGGGGAAGGAATGTGTCATAGGTGGCTTGGCTGGCTGCCTCTCTGCCCTTCTACTTCTGCCCAGAGTGGGAGGTAGGCAGCTCTCACTATGCTGGACCTTCTACCCACCTCCAGAGGTGTAGTATAGATTCCTGCTGTGAGCTGGTATATACCAAGGTACACACACACACACACACACGCAGGCACGCACGCACACCCCTCCGTCCTCAGCTTGTAGGCTCTGCTGTCTCCCTATGTTCTGTAATACCAAAGGACCTGAGTGGGAGGTAGGCAGCTCTCACTATGCTGGACCTTCTACCCACCTCCAGAGGTGTAGTATGGATTCCTGCTGTGAGCTGGTATATACCAAGGTACACACACACACACACACACGCAGGCACGCACGCACGCACACCCCTCCGTCCTCAGCTTGTAGGCTCTGCTGTCTCCCTATGTTCTGTAATACCAAAGGACCCGGTACTTCCCCAGGTAGCACGTTCTGTACAGAGCAGACCCTTGCCCGGTAGTTCTTCCCCATGGCTGCCAAACCCTTATGGACCATGCTGGTCTAGGCCTGTGTCTTGGCCGCTCTACATGCTGACCAGGCATGGTCAGACTCCATGGCCAGTTCTCTGGCCTGGGGATGTCTGCCTGCAAAGAACCCCTGCCTCCTGGCCTGGGACCCACCAACACTCACCAGACTTGGGGGTAGGCTGGGCGTGGAGAACTGTGCTACCATGAGATCCCGGTCAATTGTGAGCAGCTTCCAGCTTCCACCTGACCCCCCTGAAGAATGCAGATGCCGCTAAGCATGTGGTAGGGGCCACCATCTTTCCCACCTGCTCTTTGCAGAGTCCCAAGCTGGAGGCTCTATGGAAAGGTGCCCCTTCCATTCTAAGAAGCACTTCTCACAAACACCTAACTGCACATGGCCCTGGGTGCTGCTCAGTTCCTGTTCATCCAGCAGACACTGGCTGTGCCTGGGAACTGCCAGATGTGGGGACACATCAGACCACCAAGAGACATCCACCCACTCCTCAAAGACGATAGTGTGAAGGGGTGGCAGCAGGGCCCAGGGAGTTGGGTGAGTGCAGAGGAGAGTGCTGATTCTGGGCAGTGGGTCCAAGCAGATTCTGAAGCAGGAATTGTGCGATGAGGTGTAGGTTTGGAACAATACTTTGGTAGTTTTGTGGAAGAGTGGGTACAGTCAAGTCAGGTGAAGGATTCAAAAGACATCTCAGAGGCAGAATCACCAGGCCGGAGTGTGAGGAAGATGGGGGAGCCAAAAGTGGCTTCCTCTGGGCCCTGAGTTGGCAGAGCTGCCTCTGCCTGAGATAGGGCTACCAAGGTTTGGGGAGGGGAAGGACGACTCTGGAAGATCTTGACAAGAGAGTTTTGTAAGCTTTAGGGGGCCGTGATGAGTCTGGGCCAGGACATATGGAGCTGAGTTGAGTGCTAAAGGGCTGTGGAGCAGGGGAAGTGGGCTGTTGGCTGGGTGAAGGTCTTGTATGGGCAGGGTCCTTGGAGGACTGTCAGTAAACGCTGTGGAACAGTCAGTGGTGTAGAGTGGCCACAAGTGCCACCACTGCCCCACAAGCTCGAGCTCCATACCTGCCCTCTCCCTCACCCCTACTGCCCTGCTCACCAGCTGTTAGGGAGGTCACGCTGCCCACCTGGGTGTCCACAACAAACAGGTCCTAAAGCAGAAGGGAGGCTGCATATGGCACCACATCCAAGAGCTCTATGGGTCCTACCCCACCTCCTCTCTACCCTCTTGGGGACTCCTAGGCCAGGCCAGAGCTGTGAGCAGCTATGGCAAAGACTACTCAGTGGAATCAGGAGTAGCCTAAGGGCCTGGGTTCTAATCCCAGCCCCATCACAACTTTCTGAGGTACCCCAGGCAAGGTAAGGAATGCCTTTGAGCCCCTTTGAGTTAGAATGAGAAACAAATGATATCATACCCAAAAGGAGCCTAACACACTGTGGATGCCCTCATCCCATCCCTAGTGGAAGGGCTCAGTCCTATCTCCATCAACTGCCTTTACAGAGTGTTCAGGGACCCACTCCAGTGGCAACCCCCTTGTCCCCCAGGTGGAAATACCTAGGAGGGGGTTACATCTCTCCCTCAGGAGAAAAAGCCAAGGGGTCCATTGTGGAGCACCAGGGCAGCCAGTCCCCTCAAGGAGAAGTGAGTCCAGGACAGTGACAGACA